TCTTTATTCTGAATAGGGACCAGTTTGACAAGAACAAGAGGCTGTTGGGAAGGTTGGTCTCCCATTGGGTGGGCTACTTTGTGGTCTCTGAGTCTTGAGGCTTTTTCTGAGGGTCTCAGCATTAGAACTTGGGTGAGTTTTCTACAGGAGAGTCTCCTCTGATGAGAACTTTTGGAATATGGTACCTTCTCCTTGGGAATTAGCAGGTTCTGGGGGTGGCATGGTCAGCCTGAAGGGGGGGCTGCTCCTTATGGGTCCTCTCTATACCCCAGCCCCTCTGCAGCCCTCAGCCCTGACAGCAGGCAGAGTGAGGACGAGGGAAGGGAGGTGATCCCTGATTGCAGTGTGTCTTTGGTTGCAGTGAATTTGGGACTAAAAATCAATAATGCTGACATATGCCGGTCATGCTTAATTGTAGAATAATAGGACAATCCGAGATAAAAATCACTAAAAATATTGATGTGAGGCCTCAGATTTGTGCCTCCTGCTTGCTACTCCCAATATGAATGCATCTCTCTGCGTCTTCGTAGGCTGCTGAGCATCCCTGAAGTGGCTCGGGGGTGGGCAGCTTGCTCTCCTTGGGTCTGGTTTTGCCTCCTGGATAACCTCATGGAAACAGGGGTATATGGGGAGCACGTGGAGGAAGCAGCAAGAGCAAAGACGGTGGTGAGAGCAGGGCCCTGTGTGGGGGAGGGATCCTATTTACCATACTGCTAGTCATGGGAGGCAGAATGGGAGGCTGGGAATTTTTATGAGCCTCTTTTCTCTCTTTTTCTTTTCAATTACAATGATACCTCAGGTAATTAACTGCTAATAACCTTGTTAATTTAAAATGGATCCTCTCCCCTTTGACCATCTCAGGAAAGACTTAAGCCACAAGGGTCAGCAGATTTGCAAGATGAGGAGAGGATGGGGTGGTTGGGTGGAAGGGAGGATGCTGGGTCAGAGCCCTGTGTTTGATGTCTCCAGGTTCCTGACCAGACAGCAGGCTGGGGACAAGAATGTATGGATCACTCTCTGATGTATCCTGGGCTGTGGAGATTCAGAGGCACTGAGATCCTTCAGTCACTCCACATTCCTAGACAATGGGCTGCCCTGCTTGGGGAGAGGGCACATGGCTCTCCCTAGGACTCTTGGCCTAGCTCTGGTCTGTGCTCAGCTACTCAGCCCAAGACACTGCCTATCAGAAATTGGCCCTTGTCTTGGGACTCATGATCCTGCAAACCCAACCTGTTGAGGGTCCCTCCTCTCACTTCTGCCCCTTCTGCATCCAAGAATTTGGGATATATTCAGGAAGAGAATAAACTTTTCATTCAAAGTGGTTGAGACATTTGTCAGAACTCAGGCATCTGGATGAGGTAAGCACCTGTGATCTTTTTCAGTTAAAAAGATTTATTCTTTTGTTTGTTGGATATGCTTTTACAATCCACCTTGGGTCTCTGTGATATGAAGCTGAAGAAAGATGTGATCCCTGCCCTCAGGGAGTGTATTATTTATGACTAGAGTCTGTCAATGAACAAGTAATTACAGAACAGATTATGCAGAACACAGGGAAGATACCTAACTTCCTAACACCTAAACTTGCAGGGGATGGAAAGGTGAGGAGGGTGGGAATCAGGGAGGGGCCATTTAAACTGAGCTTTTACAGTTAAGGAGGAGTTTGCTAGGCAGGTAAGACAGGGTAGGAAGGCCATCCCAGAGGTGAGAGACCAGGGCGCTGGGGGAGTGGAAAGTGCTTTGACATGGATGGAGCACTCGGTGATGTGGGGAGGAAAAGTTGGCCAGGAAGAGAGCACAGCCAGATCCTGAAGGGTTGGTGGGATTCCTTCTGAGAGTTGACTTCTCTTGCCCAAGGGAAGTGTGCACCAGGGCAACTGAGGGTCACACCACATGGTTGGTACCTATGGAGACTCCAGCCTTGTAGCATTGGCTCAGAGAAGACTTGCAAGGAGCTGCCTATCTCTCTGCCTTTCTTTCTTTCTTTCTTTCTTTTTAATTTTAGAGTAAAAAAATGGCTTTGTGGGTAGGGAGAGGATCTGGAGATTTAGGAAAAAACAGGTTCCCTGATTTGGTTTCCCCAAAAGGTTTTCTCTGTCCCACAGTGCTTGAGGCCACTTTGAAGTCAATGCATCTGAGCCTCAGAGCTGTGCAGAGCACTTGTCTCCTCCCTGGAGAAGCTGCCATTTAGATGCTGGGAATCTGTTCCCAGTGAGCTCTCCACTTGCTGCTCTGGGGTGGCAATGCCCACCTTTGTCCCCAAACTTCAGCTCCTGGAAGAGGCCACAGGTGCAGGTGACTGGTACAGTTCTTAGGGTGCTGACAGTTGAAGGAGCACCACCCTTGCCTGGGAGGGGTAAGAGCCCAAGTATAAGATAAGGGGCTGGGGCCACCTAGGCACCTTTCTAACAGATCTTGCTGCCATCCCCAGCAGGCAGAATCATTAACTTCTGAGTTGGGCCTGAGCAGTCTCAACCTTCATTCTTGTCCCTTTTCCTGCTGTTTCAGGTTTTCTTTCTTTCTTTTTTTCTTTTTTTTTCAAGACAAACAGCCGCAAAGCTCCATCTCTTAATGAAACTGTTTGATGTTAATTAATTATGCAGCTGCCTCATTTGCATGCACAGGCTGTGGCTTCCCAGCTTCTCTCCCATCCTCCTCTGCCAGGAGCCCTGTATGTGCCTCAGGCAAAACAGAGACTTGATAAGGCTGGAGGCTGCCCACTCACAGGCAACCCTCTTGTTATTGTGCCACATTGAGAGCAGGATGTGGAGGCTGGCTTCAAGGGTAGCCTGTGCAGTCACACTTGGGCCACTACACTGGAGGCAAGTGTTGTGAACCTTTGAACCAAACTAAGAAGCCAGAGCTTTGGGTTTTATCTAGTTTCTCCCTGTGAGAGCTCTTTGACCTTAGTCCTTATTAAGCTTTCCGGTTTCAGTTGCCTCTTCTGTAGAATGGGAAGAACCCTGACGTCATCCCAATGGACCGGATCTTGTCTCTCTCTGTTTCTTCCATGATGGGTATATGGAAGAAGCTACAGAATTTCAAGTTTTTTTGTTTTATTAAAGCCAGAAGGGTTTTCTCTTGAAATAGTATGTCATGGATAACAAAGTCCCTAGGAAAAAAATTCAGGCTGTACAAAAAGTATGAAGATGAAAGGGGAAGTCACCTGCAACCTGGCACAAGTGGGTTTTTGAGTGACTGGTTGAATCAAATGGTCTCTTTGGGTCCCTTGAAGATGTTGACTCCAGGATTCTGTGGAACCCCACTTTTATCAGACACCCCAGTTCTACCTGCTGTAACCACAGGCACTCTAACCTCTAAATAGTCACAGTATTGACACACATCTGTCCTGTTGTCATCAAGGATTTCTGCTAGGGTCATGTGGGCCATCGACCAGGGGCTCTGTTTTGGAGGAGGCGTGGTGGGAAGGACAGTGGCTGCTTCTGGCTTGAATACTAAGCCCTGGAGGAGCCACGAGGCCCACACCTTCTGTTATGCTGAGGCCAGCATCAGAAAACAGGAACTTAAAATCTGTGGTGTTGAGGTGATTAAGTGGGAAAACTTCTGAGATTCATACAGGCATCAAGCCTGGCAGGAGGAATCAAAATTCATACTGAGTTTCAATGGATGGAGCCTGTCATGGACAGGGTGGAAGATTGGAGATGGACAAAGGTGAATCTCAAGCTTTTGGGGGCTGGGGACCTCTCTAGCTGTGGACTCTTTTCCTCTAAAATGTGTTCCATGCTTCTGGAAACCCAAAAGTCTTGGGCTTAAGGTAAAAGGATTCCTGTCTGCTCTAGGCAAAGAAATATGAGGACTTTTGAAAAGCCTCATGTGAAGAGGGGACAACAGGTCCAATAAGAACCAGATGACCTATCAGAGTCTGCATGGGGACTTAAGGGTGGCCTCCTGGGAAGGGAGGTTACTGGGAGGAGAGCTTTCGTCTGAAGACTGAGGACTAACCCTGGGATCTGAGAGCAAGCAGGCTGCTACCTTGGAGTATAAGCACCAGAGATCAAAGCCTTGGCTTGGAAGGGCATTGTGCAGGGACAGAGCAGGTGTGCAGGAGGAGCTCTGGGTCCTTAGGATGGTGGGTGGGGCTGGAGGTAGAGCAGTGAGGCTGCAGTCAGAAGACTCCAGATTGGCCTGTAGAGGAGCAGGCGGGGGTCTGTGTTGACATGGGAGGGGCTCCAGGTTCCAGAGGATCCAAGAGGGCAGGGAGCTAGGTTGAGTTGGGCTAAGGCTGCAGCTTTTCCTATTGTCCCATTTAATCGAACCTTCAGAGGGATATGTGTTTCTGACACCGTTAGTCCATGTTGTTGATAGGAGCCTGAGATTGGAGAGAGTGGAAGGCAGACTCACTGAAACGGGAGGATGCTGCAGTGGAGGACGGTGGCCTGGTGGATAACTGAAATATGGGAAGAGGGCTGGGGTTGTGGCTCAGTGTATAACTTGCCTAGGATGGGTGAGGCCCTGGGTCCGATCCTTAGCACCACATACAAATAAACAACAAACAAATAAACAAAATAAAGGTTAATTTCTTAAAAAAAAAAAGTAGGAAGAGGCATGTGCTTGTGGAAGGGACTGAGGTGGGACTGTTAACTGATGTGCTTGAAATTCCAAGTCCTGTGCTGTTTACCCTTCCCTGTTACCCAGCTCTTTGGGTGGGGAGCTCATACTTTATGCTACCTCTACATTTATCGCCACCAGTTATAAATCAGGTTTCTCCAGACTGGTGACCATAGAGGGCCATTGTGACACTAGTGTGTGGTCACTGGGCTCTGGAGATCCTGCTCTTTTTTATGTGAGCTGGGTTGGCAGTTTCTTGGCTTCAGACCAAAGGCCCAAGGGAGGATCAGAATGAGAGCTTCAGAAGGATGAGCCTTTCTTGGCTGAGCATGATCCAGAAACCAAAGAAGAGAGTCAGCTATGGGTGCTGGGAGGCATGCCAGCTGGGGAGGCCCATGAACTGGGACTTGGTGCCAATCTGCCACTAGCTGTCTGATTGGCCTTGGGTAAGTCACCTCTTTTCTCTGTCTCAGTTTCTTAGTCTGTAAAATGGGATAATTGAACTGCCTCCTTGTCTATCCACCATCCACTCATTCTGCCAGTTACCCACTCATCCAGCAAATATTTGTTGAATGCCAGCTCTGTGCTGGACTCTGTCTATATCACTGAAGATACACAGTAGTGACAAAGCTGACATGGTCTCTTCCCTTGTGAATCTAGGAGTTGATCAAGGAAGAAGGACATTAGATGATGCTGATGTTGCCTATCTGCCACAGCTGTCTGGGGACTGAACTAATGAAACACTATGGGAATGGGCCTTTTATGAGCACTTTCCTGCTAGGAGCTCTTGGAATCACAGAGGCACAGCCCATGCAGGAGCTAGTGAGCCTGCAGTTGGCCGAGCCTATGACTCAATGCTCTGTCAGGCACACTCTATCCCCTCCCTCCTGTTCATCTGGGTCAGTTCCCGCCCTCTGTCCCCTCCTCTAGCCACTTGCTGTGCCTTTTCTGTTGGAGGGAAAGGAAGCCTCAGTGAGCAGCCACATCCCAGCCCTGGCAGAGGGTTGGGGGTGGGAAGCTGAGCTGATTGTCACTAATTAGCAGCACCAAGCCTTGGCCAAGCTGCAGAGGCAGATAAAGGGAGGTAGCAGGAGGGGGGACAGTACATGGATGGTCCCCTGTGGATGTCACAGGCCCAAGCTTCTCCTAAGGAAACCCCTTTCCATGCCACACATTGGCTGTGCCCAGCTAACATCACCCATCAATGCATGGTAAAGAGGGGAGAGCTGTGGTAGCAGAAGAGGAGGCAGATGGCCCGAAAGGTAGGCCCTTTCCTACTCGGGCCTTTTCTGGATTCAAGGAGGTAGTTTCCCACCCTTAGCCTTCTCATCTCCAGACCTCTGCTTGGGCTAGCCTTTCTGTGGGGAACCCTTACCCTCTCCATTACCACATTTCCTCTGTCCTTCCAAACTGGAGCAACATGTCCCTGCCCTACCCTACCCCCCATTGGAAAGCAATCCCTTCTTGTAAATGATCTCAGCACTTGTAGGTAACCCACTCGACCTGAATTCTCCTGTCTGGCCCAACACCTCCATGAATTTCATGGCTCTCTTATAACAGGTATTCTAGGCTCCTTGGTATGACACATAGTGGGAACATTTCTTATCTCTCTGGCATCCTTAGGAAACCTCCACCTAAGTCCTCTTTTTATACATTGTATCTTACACAGTGCCTGACACTTAGTAGGTGCTCAATAAAGTTCATTAAAAAAACACAAGAATGTCTCTGGGCCTCCTGCATGCTCATGGACAATTTCCGAAGAAATATGAAGGTATATTTCCATTTTACAGATGAAGAAATTGAGGATCAGAGAGTCTTTTTTCAATGCCAAATGGCAAATAAGAAGACAAACTTTAAAATTTGGCTGTTTTGCTCAAATCTCTCCCTCTCTACCAGGTGGGGACAGTTTATTATTTAGGAGGATTTCTGTGGACTACAGGTTTGAGCTGTCTTGACTGGATTTCCATGAGGGACTTCCTAGGAAGTTTGTCTTTGTGTAGAAATCGCTGCCCACTGACTTAACCTCCAGTGCCATGGCAGCCTTCTAGATTTACACTCTTGTGTAATAATCTGGAATGGGTTGAAGGGGTTGTCAATGTCCAACTCAACCAGCAAAGTTGCTAAGAGCTTGTCCCCAGTATCTCACTGCTTGAGCTAGTGTAATGGAACTTTCTTCTGTGGAATCCTGGGAGGTATACTTGAGGAAAATGATCTTTGATATTTTCTGGGAGCTCAGTGTTTGACTTGGTAATTATCAATACTTTCAGAAAAAAAAATTCTGCAGGGGAGAGTGGAGGACTGAGATCTTATTATTATTTTTTTAAATTTACAGGTATAGTGGATCTGTTGTCCACTTACACTCTACTTAAGAGTGTCTCTTACTCTTCTTTTCCAGTTACTGTATCTCTACTTTAGGCGTGACTATTCCCCTGTTCTGGTGGGGCAGAAGGACAGACTCTTACCTTGCTCTCAGAAGTAACAACATGACTCAGGCCTGGCCAGCATGATGTCCCTGCCCACAGCAACTGGCCTTAAGAAGTCCACATGGCCCAAGGTGGGACAGTCACAATAGCAATAATGTAAGCTCAGAGCAGCCTTTGACTATGACTCAGGGGTCATTCCTCCTATGACTCCACCCAGGGAGGAAGCTCAAATTTAGAAAGAGGCAACAAGGGCAATGTAAAGACAGATGGAGAAAGGGAGAGAGGCCTGATAATGCCAGATGACTTTCTGGTTTTACTTCTTCTGCTCCTGCTTACACGAGCCAATGCATCTCCAATTTTGCAATAGTAGTTTAAATCCATCCCTTGCAACTGAAAGTGCCTTAAGTCATCACCAAGTAGAGTTTTATACACACACACACACACACACTCACACACCTCACACACATTCACACACATGTATCTATGTAAAACCACAAACAAAAACATCTTTAAAATTGAGAACATTTTGCTGGCAAAAACTTAATACATTACCCTCTGTGCTGTGTGCTAGTGAAGACTTCCTTAAGGGCCAGCACCTGATTTCGTACCTGTGCTTGGGAACCATAGGTTCAGCTAATCCTTCCAGAGGACAGGTTCTGAGGGCGGAGGGGCTCAAGAGAAAACTGGGATGACTTGGACCCCTGAGATACACTCGGCTTTATGTTTCATTTCATGAGGACTGTCCCTCCCTTGTGACTGTGCTGGAGGGTGTGGGTGGGTTTTGTGTGTGAAATCTAACGTGTTCCACCCCAGGCCCTGCAGCCCTCCTACCCTTCCAGAATTTGCTCTTTCCACCTGTAAGTCCTCCAGGGAGACTCCTGGGGTGCTCTGGAGAGCGCCCCCTGGATAGTGGGTGTGTGGCTGTGGGACAGGGAAGCAGCAGCAGGTTCACCCGGCTTGGCCTGGCATGAGCCATGGGGACTTTATCTTGCCATTAATGGTTTTCTAAATTGGTGGCAGTGGAGCAAAAAACCCAATTTGCGCCTGGAGCACGCATGATTACTATTGTAATAACCTCAGCTAATAAGAATATGATGTGGGGCTAGGCTGAGAGAGAAAACACATTTCTCATTAGCTTTTGATTAATTACTCTACATAATTTCTTAGTGGTGGTGGCCAAGGGGGTGGGGTGTCGCCATCTCTTCACCTTACCTTAATCCTGGCTGGCTAGGGGTAGTCTAGAGATGGTGTTTCCACGGTGGCCATCAAGAGAGCAATCCCCGCCTCTCCTCCACTTCCCTTCTCTCTCTCCTCCTCACGTCCTTTCCCTGTCTTCTGTCACCCTCCCCCTCCAGCCCTCCTTTTCTCTGCCTTCTTAATCTCTTCTCTCCCTGTCGGCCTTTTCCTGGTCCCTATGGGAGTCCCACTACTGGTACATTATGTATGTACCTACTGCCAGGTAGGTAGTGATGGTTGCAGGTCCTGGCTGAATCATTCTACTCCTTGAACTTAAACTGGACATTTCCTTCAGTCTCCATCCACTCCTGCTCTGGATTTCCTTGCCTGATTTGGGGACTCTCTTCTTGGCTTACCAGCTCCTGACCCAGGTTTGTTTCTGCCTGGCTCAGCGGCCCTTGTACTGGGTCTTCTCAGGGGCTGCTGTGTGGTTCAGAATGTTCTTGCCTCCTTACCACCTCAACATACTAAGAAGTTGAGGGACTCCATCCAGCTAGACCAGGCTGGATGGAGTCCCTCAACTTCTCTCATTGGGACACTACTGCTCAATAAGACACTGGTTGGGAATACTTTCATTCTATTTTTAAACCAGCAGATTTCTGTTGACCCCCTACTTTGTACACAGAACTGTGATAGGCACAGTAGAGCATATGAGAGAAATGAAAGCTGTGGATTTTGTCATTAGGTTGGGAAGGATCTTGTAATGCCAGATTCGTGGGACCCCAATAGACCTCCAGGAGCAGAAACCGATGCAATTGCACAAGAGTCTTTATTGCAAGCTCCAGCCTGGATTCACAACCGTTTTTGCGCAGCAATCCCAGGGAGTGAGTCCCAGTCCTTTGTTCAGTGAGATTTTATAGGTTTTGAGGGGAGATACTCTATGTGTCACAACATCAGACCGCAAATCATTCCATACCGTGGGAAAATCAAACAACAACTCTTAACATTGATTAGCACATTCATTGGCAGGAACAAGTTGGGTAGGGGTGATTGGTTAGTACAAGAGGGGGATTCTTTTGAACTGATTGGTTTAAGCCACAAGGGGAGTTCGTGCTAAACTACATGGTTTCCCAACATGTTATCAACCACCATAAACTACTGGGAGGGTCATCTGGCATCCCAGGTGTTTCCCTGTCTCATTGGAGATTGCTAGGGGGTTACTATGGGTCCTCACCTAGACTAACTGAGTCAGGGACACCTGGCACCACAAACCTCTCCTATTATTTACAGACAAACAACTCAGCAGGGTGGGTATGTGCTTAGGAGTGCTCTGTGGGTTTTTCCCAGGACAAACGCCCCCTTCCTTAGGACAGGCCTTGAGTTAGAAGCTGGTTTCTCAAAAATGGAGTCACATCAGTTTCTCAATCTCAAGGAGAGACAATCTAACACAGGCCATGTGCACTGAGTGCTAAATGGACAGGTTGGAGAGGGGCCTGCATAGGCTGCAGGGCCCATGGAGGCTTCCTGGAGGAGGGACTTACTGGAGGCTTCTATGGAGATCAGCTTTGGATTGACAGAGGAGAGGAGAAAAGAGAGGGAGTTCCAGATGAGGGGATTGTGTGAGGAGGATGTGAAGGTGCCATTGTATTTTAAGTGGAGGTTTCTGTGGGAAATGAGCTAAAAAGGAAAATTGGAGACAGACCTGAACATTAGGCTGAGTATTTAGAAAAATAATATGTAGTTGGGAATCCTGAAAGGTACCGAGGATGTTGGATTGATCTTATAGTAAAAGTGTGCTAAATGGAAAATGGTGAAATGTACTGGTGTAATGGTTTAAATGTTAATGTCCCCTCAAACTTTATATGTTAGAATTGAACCCCCAAGGTGATGGTATTAAAAGGTGGGGACTTTGGAAAGAGATTTACACAAGACCAAAATAAATGGTTGGCTTGTTGGGTTCTTATCGTGAAGCTCTGGAGAGAATCTACTTCTAAGCTCATTCAGGTTCCTTGTTCCTCTAAGCTCACTGAGGTTCTTATTTCCTTCTGGCTGTAAGCAAAGGCCACCCTGATCTCTACTTCTGTTTCTTGCATGTGGACCCTACATTTCACACCAGCATGAGGGTATCAAATCCTTGTCATGCTTGCTAAAACTCTCTGGTTTCCTCCTACCATCTCTTTTCTGTTCTTTTCTCTTTTGTTGCATCTCTGATTTGAACTGGAAAAAGTTCTCTGCTTTTAAGGGCTTACATGTTTATACTGGGCCTATCTAATAAATCAGGATAGTCTCTATTTTAAGGTAAGTAACCTTAATTATATCTGGAAAGTCATTGTAATCATGTAATGCAACATTTTCACAGATTCCAGGGACCAGGGAATGAAATCTTTGGGGAGAGACATCATTCTGCCTACTACATGGAGCATGGAGATGGGGTGGCTCCTGCCATAGTCCTGGTGAATGGAAAAAGGGCTAGAACTTGGAGTGTAATGAGAATGGAAAGGTTGGGCAGATGCTATGTCATTTCAAAGAAAACTAGAATTTGCCTGATGATTGATAGGTTGTGTGGTTGGGAGTGGAGTGTGAAGTAAGGGGACAGGAGTTAACTGGGATCCAGCCTAGGAAACAAGAGAAAAAACCTCATCAATCACGGTAGGAGGAGTTGTTGGTTAGTGAGAGTATATGATGCATTGGGTTTCGGCAGGATGACTGAAGAGTGACAGTAGATTTCTTGCCAACCTGGAACCATTTAAAATTATTTTTTTTATAGTGGTGGGGATTGAACCCAGAAGCTCTTACATGTTAAGCAGGTATTATATCACTGTGCTACAACCCCAGTCCCTAGCCTGGAACCATCTTAGGAGCAACTGAGGACACTTACCAGAAATGTCAGGCCTTGTGATACAAATCTGTGAGCTATTCATATGGAAACAGTGGTTGAAGACTTGGGAGAGAGGGTAGGAAGAAAGTTGGGTGAGAGTCTTTGGGGATGACCAAGGAAAATGTGGAAGAAGAAAAGCTGGGGGAGGGGAGGTGGGAGGAGGAGGAGAGAGAAAGGCCCACAGGAAGGAGGGGAGCCAGACAGGTCCCCTCTGGGTGGCCAGGGAGCGCAGATGGGTGGTTTAGGAGGGCAGGAGTCTGACAATAGAATGGGACACAGGCCACAGGTTGGAGATGGGCAGCTATTTGGTGATGGAATGTGTTCATCTGGGCAGAGGCTGAGGAAAGACCAGGTGGTGTGGAGGAAGGAGAGGAATGAGAACATATAGGAGGAGCTGGCACTATAGGGACTATGTCAGCCCGTGGGGAATGATGTTGGAAAGCAGGGCAGAGGGAGAGACTGGCACTGCTAGTAGCAGTGGGAGTGGGTACAATGTAAGGAACAGTCCCCCAAAGTAGTGAGGTGGATGAGATTGAGAATGGAACTGAAAGCGTTAGGGGGAAAACAGACACCTGTAGTACCTGTAGTGTGGCCCATCTTGGAAAGGGCACTCACCTGGCTGTGGGGTGGTTTGCACATTGGCCCAATGCTGTTTCCTGGCTTCAAGTCCAGGAAGGGGAGAGCCAGGCATTAAGTACTTTAGTGGGACCCAGCTGCCTATGGGCCCCTGGGCCTCTTGGAACAGGAAGATTTTGGAGATGGAGGCCTGTTCTGAGGGGAATGGACAGGGAATAAAGCCAGGCAAATTAGCAGATCTAGCCCCTGTGGGGTCATTTCTATCTTGGGAACTATCTTCTCTCCCTTGATTATCTAGAGCAATTGAATCTCCAAAGCACAGATTGCTGGAGTGGAAGGAGTTAATGTTTTTCAAGGGGATTTGAGAAAAGAACGTTTATAAATGGGTGCCCAGCCTGCCAGAAGGGCCTATGGGAGCACAGGAGAGCTGTCTCCAGGGCTCCTGGCTCCATCACCACGTGTTCACCTCCCCACCCCCAACCCCTCAGTGCAGGCTGAATC